GTTTCTGACAGCTCTCCTTGCTGAGCTGAACCTTGTGCAGGACAAGGCTGTGTGTCAGAGGGGTGACAGCAGAGACTAATTGCAGGTCTGTTTTAATGTTTGGACATCACAATCGTTCCAAGCCTTAAACCAAACAGTTTCATCAGAAAACTGCTCAGAACTTTTTAAGATTTTTTACATTTTTTATGAATTTACTAGGTCTTAAAGTGATTTATTATCCAGCCCACTTCCATGTGGTTCTCGGGCCTTAGTAAATACTGAACTGTGAGCTCCCTTCCTTCTCACTGTTCCAGCTTTCCTTTTTCCTGCTCGGCTGCCGAGGTGATCACAGCACTCTGAGACTTCAGGGAACACCTCGGCGTGACTCCAAGGGACATTGTACCAAACCTGATGTTTGCAAGTTTAGTTGAGCCACTGACCTCTGTTACTGTGCACTGAAATGTAATAACTGCAATAAGTTTAAATACCAGTGTTTCTTTTAGACTAAATCTAGAAGCTGATGACAATGGAAGCTCAATTGAGTTTTTCTGAAGTGGAAGATAAGGAAATGGGGAAGTGTCCCTCATCAGGGTTGCCTCTGTTTTCATTTTTTGTTTTGTCGTTTGTTGATTTCATTGACTTGCATCTTCTGATTGTTGTTGGTTGGGCAGGTTCATGTCTCCAGAAGTACTTCAAGGAACTCATTTTCATCAGCAGAGCAGCCTCGTACAGCTCACTGTCCTAAAGGGATGTGGGAGATGGGGCTGGCTCTCGTCGCAAACGTGTTTATATTTTCAGCATAGGCTTTGTTCAGTTTCAGCTGGTGAAATAGAAGTATGTCACACGTGCTACACACCACTGCACACTCATTACTATCCTCATCAACTGAGCAGCGCATACAAATTTAACTGTACAAGCTTTCATTTTAGCTTCCTTTTCCCTCCTCTGATTACTTAAATTATTGAAATGATATCTATTTCTAGTCTCATGTTTAGTCTGTGAAGTGTCAGTATGAAATTATGGCCTTAATCATGTAAAATATTTGTTTTGAGCAGACCTCAAACTCACTGACCAAGTACGAAAGAATAATAAGCACTACAGAGCAGTTTCTTGAAGGTGGTTTTAGCAGGGGCCTACAAATGCCTAATTTTTCATGTCTTAAGTGCTTAAATGTCGCTTGGTTTGAGATTTCGATATGCCTAGCAAGATGATACAGTAAAGCACGACGAGCCAAAGAGACAGAAGTGTTGTAAGTACGGCAGTAATGGAAGGAGGGGTGTATCTTCAGAGGGAGAAAAACAGTTCTAACTTTCTCTGCTAAGACAGAGTTCTTGCTCACAACCTTGGCCAAACACCCAAGCCAGGTTTTCTGCTAGTCGTTTTCACATCATCACGTGAAAAAGAAACAACAAACGTACGATTGGCAGTTTTCCTCTTTGGGAGATGGAAGTCAGAGTTGTTGTGGTAGCTACGAGCTGGTGTGCTCCTGTCTGAAGAGCTGCTGTGCAGGGGAAGGATTTGCCCAGCACTGCACGGTGCTGCTCATTGGCATGGGCTGCAGGTACAGCTGCAGTAAATGTTTCATCGAGAGTTGATCCAATCATAATAATATCACATGATGGCAGCACTTGTGTTTGTCCTCAGATTGGCACTCTGAGTTCACTCCTGGTAAATGCAGTTCACGATAGCTCAGAGCGAAGTTTAATTCAGGCTGTGCTTGAAAACACGTGATTGTTTAATGAAAATAAGCTGCGTACTGTATGCCAAAGTAAGAAAAGGGTTTGTAACTTACCGAGCAAATGGTGTTGGTGGAGATGAGATTCACCAATTTAGGTCAGCCTCGATGTATGAATTGTTCCTGGTGTCTGACCTGTGACACATCGCATGAATTTATAACGCTGCTGTTGTCTAACACATGGTTTTCAACTTCTGGCTTTAACACGTTCAGGTCCCCTTATCTTACTTTCAGTAGGAGAACGCTGTATATTAATGTTGCTCACTAAAATGTACTTTAGCTTTTCTTCAGGGAAAACTCAGAAATTGAGTTGCAAATCAGAGCAATGCAAAGTGATCCCCGGCTGCGGTTCCAGGGGAGCAAGGAGCGGCTCTGCAGGGAGCCGAGCATCACGAGGGATCTCTGCCACTGTGCTTGACCAACCCATGTTTGCAACTTTGCTGTGCTTTTGCAGGAGAAAGCGGTGATGGAAGAGAATCAATTCAGCCACATCAAGTCAGAGTAGGTCTTACAGCATCGGGGTGCAAACTTTTTATGTATTTAAAGTTTTCCAGTTCAATTACTGAAAATAACTACTATAGTTTTACAAAGTAAAACTGCAGTATCTTTAAAAAAGGGACTCTTTTGTAGGTGTTTCTGTCTTTGCGTGAGTATCTGCCTCAAACTGAATGTTGGGTTTGTTTGTAAGTAAAGTCAGAGTAGAGCCTGCGTGAGCAAAACAAACAGCTGTATTCTGCTGCCCTCTGTCTGGACCACATTGTTAATCAGTAGTGTTACCTTCAACTTCTAAGGGTATCTTATGTAATTGCATTGTATAACGGTTTACAATAAAGTTGACTTATTACAGATTTGTACACTGGTTCTGTACTCATTCTTTTTAAAATGAGCCTGTTTCAATGTTCATAACCCTCTGTGTTCACAAATGGGAAGTTAAGCCCTGTGTGTGCATCCTGAGCGGTGCAGAACGCAGACCCAGAGACCTCTGCAACGCAGGACTTGGTTAATGTGCTTTTCCACCCAGCTCGTTGTCACAGCCCACCTTCTGCTCTTTGAACAAAGTCACACCTGTTGGTCATTGGGCACAAAAATATGTAAACTTAGAAACGTCTGAGTTTACCTCCAACATCCTGTCCCTGCAGGGGCAGTGATGTTTGCTGAGAAGCCTTGCAGTGCTGCAGAACTCCCTGGTCTTACTTGTGAGCCAAGGGCTGCATGGGGACAAATGCTTCCAGAGCCCAGCAGCCTCCTGTCACCCACCTCAGACCCAACAGGAGCAACATCACCCTGCTCCCTTGCATCACTGCTACACAAAGCAGAGGGGAGGAGGAGGGGGAAGCAGTGCTGGTTCTCTTCTGGCTGGAGAAGGCAACACTCCTGCATGCCTGTCTGTGCAGCACAGGGTTGTCTGTGGTTACTGAAGGGTTCAGCAGCAAGCATGTGTGTTTATACCCAGTAAAATGAGTGTAGCCCATGCTTGCTTTACAACCACCACCCCTACTGTGGGGACATAATGATGCTGTCTTACTCTTCAGGTGCCTTTTTCCCCAGCTGGAGCACCTGCCATCCGTTTCCTAGAGCGCTGGAGGAGCAGGGAGTGCTACCAAGAGCTGCTGCCCTGCGAAGCTGTGATGTGAACCAGAAAACTTCAGTCGCACCTTTGTGCCAGAACAGCAGAAATCGTGGTACTAATGAGCTGCTGCTGCTGCTTTCACTGCTTCTCTCTTGGTGGAAGCAGTTTGTTGGGCTGGGCCTGCACAGTGTCAATCCTTTGTTACTCCTCTCTTGTGTTTGTGCATTACTTTCATTGCTTATCGCTTACTGCAGCCAGCAGCCCTGTCCCCATGCTGCATCCTTACAGGGAACTGAAGGAGCCATCTTCTGCCTGGCAGCCCACCCAGCGGTGTGCACGGCTTCCTGGAGGACAAGTCAAGTCTGCTGCAAGAGCTGCGACCTCTGGAGGGCCAGGTGTGCACATTCACTACACTCATTGTGGTCATCGCCCTCTTTTCACCAGTTCTTAGGAAAGGAGTTTTGCACACCTTGGTTACAAAGGAAGGAGGATAAGCGGCAATACACTGCCTGGACTTGGATGCTCGTTGTATTCAGAAGTCCTCAGGACCTCAACCAGGTGAGTGAGGTTCCTGCTTGCAGAAGGCAGCACAGGTTGGTTTAAGCTGAGCGAGGAAAAATTGGCCCCCACTCCGTAAGAAGAAATGGTGGTGATTTTGCTTCAGCTTTGGTTTAGAAAATGTGCCACTGAGTCAAAGAGAGAGGATTTGCCTGGGCTGTGCTGGGACACACTGGAGAGCATCAGGGTGTGCTGCCTACACTGATGGGAACCTCAGCTTTCTCCTGGAGGAAAAACAGAACCTTGCCTGGAGTGAGCGGTTTTCCTTCCCACTGTTATCATAGCGTTATTGCACAGAAACTTTTCTTCCAGTTTACTAAAATGCAGGTTCCAAACACAAATTCAGCATAAGGAAAGGTTAGGTGTGTGACATCCATCGTGCTGCCTAACATCCCAGCACTCACACAGAGGAAGGCACATTCGTGGGCCTGGGCAGGGCTGCAGTGGCAGTCAGTGGGTGCACAGAGACGTGGGGAGGGCTGGGGATGTTTGTACTGCCATGCTGTTCCTGGTGGGCACTGCTGGGAGGAGCACTGGCCTGCCTCTCCAAAGCTGGCTCCAGCCTTGGTGCTTGATATATGTGGGTTGAGGTCACGGAAGCCAATCTTTTGTGTGATGCAAAGAATTAATGCAAAAAATAAAAAATAAAAAAAAAAAAATCAGGGAGACAACTCCCCTGGCCTACGGATCTCTTTCTTTCTATTTAGTTAAAAAATCGTTTAGGAAATGAATCTGAGAAGGTTTTACATCAGTCAGCACATGCACGGGGAGCACTGAGCCCATCCCTGCGCACAGCACGGCGATGTGGAGCTGCTGAGCACTGTTGGAAGCAGGGAGGGGTTTTGCTCTCCAGTGTGTGAGAGCTGCTGTCAGGGTAAAGCTGGATCTGACCTCACACACTGCAAAACCGAGGTTTTTCACCCCCAAAAAATCACAACCTTTTCTTCCTATGGAGTGGGGGCCACTGCCTCCCACACAAGAGGGATCCGAGGCATCGTGTTATGCTTTTGACATTAGGTTTATATAAATTTCACAGCTTATTTCCCTGTGCAGGAAAAGAACGGATGGCCTCCAATCCCATCGAAAGAATTCAAAGTTTGTGCCTGTAAGCAAGTTTTGCCTTTTAAAGTTCGTTTATTCGGATCCCAGCGGCCCCCTGCAGGGCAGCCCCCCTCCCACCCCAGCTGTCCACTCCCATCACAGCCGCGCTGCGAGTCCTGCAGTCACTGCCAGGAATAAACCCCGAGCGGCCTGAATCATCCCAGGCACCGCTTTGGGAAGGTGACCCCACCCCTGACCTCACGCTGGATGCTCCTATATAAGTCTGGGAGAACAACGTGTTTTGCACGGCACGCGGGTTGCATTTAAGAGCAGCTGGGAAAACCACGTCGGAAGGGATCGGAGCCGCAGGAGCCGCAGGAGCCGCAGTTATGTCGCAGGTACGGGGCACGGCTGGGAGGCTGGCAGCGGTCAGAGCCCACACAGCGCTGCTTGCCAGCGAGCAGCTCCGCTGGTGCGGTGAACGCTGTGCTCTGCGCCGATTGTTTGGTTCCGTGAAGTGGTGAAACAGGCTCTGCTCGTAGAGCTCGCTAAGTTTTATGGGGCGGTCGCTGTGTGGCAAAGGAAAGCAGCTGCACTCTGTGTGCTTAATTAGTTGGTTCTTAATATATTCTGTTGTACTGCAAGCGCTCACATTTCTATAGGAAGGGAAAAGCAATTTTCACTGCTCTGGTCTGGGATGTTGTGCTGACAGATCTCTGCTTTTCCAAAACGTTTTCTCGGACAATGATCTGAAGTTCTGGCAGTAGTTTGGAAGGATGTGCCTGCACTAAGGTGTGCTGCCGTGTAAAGCAACGCCTGACGCATGAGCGTGCAAGAAAAGAAGAGGCAGAGGACGTGGGCACAGCCCTTCAGCCACACAGAACAGCTCGGTTCTCCCTGCTGGCTTTTACTGCAAAGAAAAAGTCTTGAAAGCAGCGCCCCACACCTCGCAGGCTCTCAGCACAGCACTCACAGCCGCGCCGCTGCTGGCAGCGATGGGCGCAGCTCCGCACCACCGGGACCGGGGCTCCGCGCTGCGGCTCACGGCCACCTCACTGTGCAGCACCGTCGTGTTTGAGCTGCAGGACAGCTGATCCACAGCAACCGCTCTGCTGGGAAACCGAGCCCTGATCGCAGCACGAGAAGTTTTACTTTAAAGCTGGGTGGAGTGAAGCTCGCTGTTGGTGACTCGGCACGTCTCCAGCGCTCCTCTCCCTGTCCCAAGGAAACCTCTGGGAAGCAGCCTCACAGTTATCAGCCCTTGCCAACAGCAGGCAGAGCACCTTAGCAGGTTTCATGTTGCTGTTAACAAAACGTGGTATTTCTTCCCCTTTCCGTGTGGGAACCGGCACAGCTGTGTGCTCGCTTCACGTGGGCGACCCCAACCCCATAGCAGACGGCCGTGGAGATGGTTTTGGTTCAGCAGCTCCCCAACCCAAACCCACTGTGAATTTGGAAGGATCTGCTCTCAGCTCAGGCTTTCTTTGGATACTCGCAGTGCTTTTGGATACTCGCAGTGCTTTCCCCAGAGATCCCGTGGCTGTTTTGTTTCCCACAGCACCACTCCAAGTTCTCCGGGAGCTGACAGCCAGTGGGAGCTGTGCCACAGCCCCAGCACAGCCAGGCCCCCCGGCACCCACTGCTCCAGCAGCTTGTGGCCCTGCAGTGTTTGCAGAATCACAGAATGGTTGGGTTGGAAGGGACCCCAAGAATCACAAAGCTCCAACCCCCCACCACATGCAGGGCCACCAACCTCCGCATTTCACAGCAGCCCAGGCTGCCCAGGGCCCCATCCATCCTGGCCTGGCTCCCCCTCCACAACCCTTTTTAGCTTTACAAGCAGTGGCACAGAAATGTTCCACCGGGCTCCAAAATCCAAATCAGAGGACCTGCGTGCGGACGGGTGGTCAGAGAAGTTTCTCACTGATGCACACTCATGTTCCTGTCGGAGCGCGTGCGTCTTCCATCTGTTTGATGACGTGATGATGAAAGGATGACATTTGCTGTGGGGGTGGTGAAACTGATCTCCCCACACCCCACTGCGTGGTCTGCCCAGTCCTCAAACACAGTGAGTGCACTGCAGGGTGTTAACAGTGCTGATGGGTCATGTTGGGATTTAAGTGCACACTGAGTGTGAGGAGATGCTGATATTCTTCTGTGTTACCCTGATTTCCTGCTAGCATGATAGACTGTAAACAGGTTTGGGTTGTTTTGTTGTTGTTTTTTTTCTATCCCTTCCTGAACATCAGACAAATACTTTGTTTACCAACCTGTCTTGGTCTTCACTTGCAGAAGGACCAGGCAGACATCTCCATAGGGTGGGCAATCAGAGGGCAAGTTCAGAACCAGAATGGTAATGGTGACAGATTTTGGGAGGGGTAATGACATCCTGCCCCGATATGGAGCTGAGGATGTATAAAACATGGAGCAGCTGAGTGTACAGTTTTAGAGGTGGAGTACAGAATTCTAGGTGGAACACAGGATTAGCAGCTCTGCATGTGGTAGCCATTGCATCTGTTCTCTATGGGTCCTAAACATGAAATACTGATGTGTGAGTGATACTTTTTCCTATTAGCCAGAGCCAGTGAAAAAGAAGCGTCCTCCAGTGAAGGAGGAAGATCTCAAAGGCGCTAGAGGGAACCTTTCCAAAAACCAGGAAATTAAGTCCAAAACCTACCAAGTCATGAAGCAGTGTGGTAAGTCTCTTCTCTTTAATGGAAATAAGGAAAAAACCTTCCAATGTAAAGCATGAACTTAAAGCTATTGTCAGTGAATGAGTGCAGCTCCAAATTAGCAGCCAGCGATGTGCTTACCCCCACTGGCCTGGCTGCACAACCATTTAATCAGTAGATGGCATCAGTAGGTGGCACCCAGGCTCTGCCTCAAGTGGTCGTTCTCCTTGTCTGGACAAAGTGGAAGGAAGAGCCCTGACAGCCTTCTGGGCTGAGTTCCAACTAAATGTTGTCCCACAGTCAAAGTCTGGTTGCCCAAACTGAAAATCTGGATCCTTTCTCATAGACTTGGGGATATAGAGAGATACATATATTGCTTTTCTACCACCAGTGGGAGATTACAAAGAAAAATGATGGATTAAAACCCTTATTCAGGGGATATCTTGAACCTCAGAGTAGTTTATAAATCACCTGCAGGGATTTGGGGTCACTGATGGTGATGACCACCTTCAGATGCTGGAAGCTGCCCAGTGCTTGGAATGGGAGCACTGGGTTTGGAAAGTTGTTGGGCTGATGAAATATTTCTCAAAAGTTTCTCTACTTTAGCAGCGTTTGCATTACTGCCAGAACTTGGTGAATTCCTTCACTGATTGCCTCCTCTCCTGGTTTTCTTTTTCAAGAACAAATGGGCTCTGCAGCACCTTCCATATTCAGCCGGGCTCGGACGGGAGACGAAACAGTCTTTGAGAAGTCTAAAGATGAGCCACCCAAAAGCGTCTTTGGTTGAGAGCTGAGCTGCACGTACCTCACCAGGATGATTGTTGTAACATTATTCCAAATTTCTACCCCTTGCACTAAGCTCACCATAGCCATAGATACCCAATTTCTACCTTAAGTCATTAAAAAGGGAGCGGGGTTAATATCGAAGGGTGCAACTCCCATTTTAGTTCTTATTACGGGCGTCCTTTCCATGTGTTGAAAGGTGTTTGCTGCAGTGGTTTGGTAAATAAAATGATTTTTGGACACAGTCTGGCACAGAGTGGTGACTGCTTTTAACTCAGGCACGCGCTGATCCTGTGGACATTTTGGCATCGCAGCTGCCATCTGACTGCAGGATGCAATGAGTAAATACAGTGACAGTGCTATTTTAGCATCCGTGAGGTTTCTTCATGATATTTGTCTCAAAAATATCAGTGAAGCGCTCGTGGATGCATTTCTACAGGCTATGTGTTCATTTTGGATAATTACCTACCACGCAGAGCTGCTCTGAAAGTAACGCCTCCTGTTTTATGATGTTGATGTACAATGGCAGAGACAGATGTTGGTGGAATGGCAGTGGAAGGGCAACCTTCCCACTGCTATTCCATTCCATGTGCTTGCTGTGTGATGGATGGCAGCAGAGGGGCAGCCTGACAGAGTGGCATCTGACGTGCAAATGCATATGGAGCAAAGGTGAGGAACTGAATCCCTCCATGCAGAAAAAAATGCCACCCAGTGACATTTGTTGACATTTGCTGAGGGTTATTATTATATATATAATATAATGTATAATATATAATATATATATATATTATATATATTATATATATTATATATATAATAATAATATATATATTATTATGTGAGCACAGTGAGGTGGGTGGTGCATTTCAGCAGTGATAACAGCAATGGGAAAGACAAGCCACGTTCCAGACAGCCATGTCAAATTTTACAAACATGGCATGTTTGTTCATCACTGGCAGAAATGCCTAGCTAATGGTGGTGAGTATGCTGAAAAAAAAGGGTTTTGTAGCTGAGAATTTGCTCTAACAGTGTTATTGTGCTCTTCATGTCTGCTGTGGTTTCCATAGAAATAAATTTGAGGTATTACTTTTGAAGCGACGTACACATAATCATAGGATCATAGACTGGCTTAGGTTGAAGGGACCTTAAAGTCTGCCCTGTTCCAATCCTTGCTGAGGGCTGGCTGTCCCCCCCTCCAGGGATGGCACCCACAGCTTTGGGCAGCTGTGCCAAGGCATCACCACCTTCTGAATGAAGAATTCCTTCCTAATATCTGCCCTAAGACTCCCCTCTTTCAGTTTAAAAACATTCTCCTTTTTCCTATCAATATCAGGCTGTGTAGGAAGTCATTCTCCCTCCTGTGTATTAGCTGCTACTGGAGGGCTGCAGTGAGGTCTTCCTGGAGCCTTCTTCATGCTGAACACCCCCAGCTCCCTCTGCCTGTCTTCACATGCTCCAGCCCTCTTGTCTTCATGGACCTGCTCCATCAGCTCCAGGTTCTTCTGAAGCTGGAGGTCCCAGGCCTGGATACAGAACTGCACATGGGCCTCACATGGACACAGTTGGGGGGCATAATCACTTCTCTTGCCCTTCTGGCCACCCTCCTTCTGAGAGATGCTGCAAGTGCACACTGCTGGCTCATGTCAGCTTTTCATCCACCAGGACCCTCAAGTCTTTCTCTGCAGTGCTGCTCTCGAGGAGTTCTTCTTTTATTCTGTACACAAATCTGAGATTTCTCCAAACCAAGTGCAACACCTTGCACTTTGCCTTCATTGAACCTCATTAGGTTCTCATGTGCTCACTTCCCAAGCCTGTCCAGGCCCCACTGAATGGCATCTCTTTTTTCTATCATGTCAACTGCTCCACTCATCTTGGTATCATCAGCAAACTTGCTGAGGGTGCATTCAATGGTGGAGCAGAAGAAACAGCCTTTGGAAGTGGGTTCTGCCTGCTGTCATGATGCTTAAAAAACACAATTATTTCAGACAATTATGTCTGAAGTGCTTTGGAAACGAGGAAGACATAGCAACTATTCACATGGGGGAATATTCCTGAAATAATTGTGCAAGGTCTCTCTGGATAGGAAACCACCCAAATGCCAAGGGAATGATCATGTATCTTAGGAATCACATTAGTATAATGTTGTCTGTAACTATTCCCATATGAAAATGTGGACATGTAGCAAAATTAATTGTTCTGGGGCTACAGATCAATCCTGGACCAACAAAAACAGTTCTTGAGAACTGTTTCTGCCCTCTTGGATGAAGACTTTGTTATAATACAGGAGATGAAAACAGTCATCCCACCTGATTTACTGACAAGCAGAGCCCTCCCAGAGCTGAGCTGTTGTGCAAACAGCCCTGCTGGATGCACAGGTTCAAGGCAACTGTGCAGGACTCATGGCTGGAGGCATCAGGGCTGTGTTAGGGCTGGCTAAGATCAGATGTGCTCCCGCATGCAGCTGTTGCTACACTGATTTTTGAATATTTTATGGCTTCCTTCTACTCTGAGATATGATGCACAGACTCAGCACCTCTCTAGGTAGCCCAGGCATGAGCTGTTCTCATTTTATTACTGCTCAGCCTAGAGATCAAACAGTTGGTACAGCTGTTGGACAAGTGAGGGTTGTGTCTGCTAGAGAGGCAGCAAAAAGGATGTTTTTGCTCTCAGTATAACTCATGGGCTGGTTGGCAGGGAGGTACAAGAGCTGAAAAAGTCACCAGCTATACAATCTCACGTGGATGTTGCGTGTCTCAGCAACCTCCAGATGCCTCAAAGTGCTTGAGGTGATGTCAATTATTGCTTTTATTTTTTTCCCTTTTTGTTTCCCCAAGTCGTTGCATTGGGGCAGGGCAGGGATCCCCCCAGCCATGAAGGTGACTTGTGGCACAGACCTGTTCAGCTCCTTTGGGATCTCACATGCCCCAGTGGAATCTCAGTTTCAACAGAAAACATAAGCATTTCTTCATTCATGCATTATGAAACATCAGAACTCTAACGTTGAACAGCAAAGATCTATTCAAATAAAGAAACTTGAGCCAAGTCCAAGTTTTACGTGTGTTTAACAGGTAAACATTAAGTTTCCATCTCTCTCCAAAGTCTAGGTAATGTTTCCAAGTACAAGTCACTCATTAACTGATTAAGATGAATTGAGTTTTCTTTGACATTCTGATCTTTTTAAAATGCAGAGGAGAATGTATTTTCAGTAGCTGAAGGGGAGCAGTAGGAAAGAAAGGGACAGGCACTTCGGCAGGGCCTGTTGTGACAGGACGAGAGGAAATGGTTTCAAGATTAAAGAGGGAAGATTTAGGTTGGATATGAGGAAGAAGTGTTTTAAAATAAGAGTAGTGAGGCTGTAGCACGGGCTCCATCCCTGGATGGTGCTGCATCCCTGCAGACAGCCAAGGTCAGGCTGGAGGGGCTCAGAGCACTGATGGAGCTGCGGTGTCCCTGCTCAGTGCAGGGGGGTGGGAGCAGATCACAGAATCATAGAATGGGTTGAAAAGGACCTCAGTGTGTATAATGTGAGCAAAATGCAGGAAAGCTGGGGAGGAACTTTTTACGTGGGCATGTAGCTACAGGATGAGGGGAGACAGCGTTAAAGTGGAAGAGGGTTGATTTAGATGAGATATTAGGAAGAAATTTGTTGTTTGGGTGGTGAGACACTGGAATAGGGTTGCCTAGCAAGGTCGTGGGTGCCCCCTCCTTGGAAGCATGCAAGGCCAGGCTGGATGGGGCTGTGAGCAACCTGGGCTATGGGAGGTGTCCCTGCCTACAGCAGGGGGTTGGGACTACATGATCTTAAAGGTCCCTTCCAACCCAAACCATTCTGTGATTCTATGGTATGCAGGTGCATAAATCGGAGGAGATGATGACAGTAAGGAAACCTCCCCAAAAGTTGGTGGTGTAGATGTCATGAGATGGAAGAAGCACCATGGGTTTAAGGAATCAGAAATTGTAATTTGGTGGTCGTCTGGGGGTTGAGGGAGGAAGGCTGTCAATCTTGATTGCTTCTAAACTTTCCTCCCTGGTCTCAGAAGCATGCTCAGTCACGGTGCTTGCCTTCTCTTCTGGGTGTGGTGTCTCTGATGTTTCTCGGTTGGGCCCATCCATCCTTCCTTAGAGCAATGCAGAGCAATGCAATGGTTGCAGGGTTTATGTCTAGATATTTCTAAGGAGTTATTGATTAGGGGAAATTTGCTTAGATAGAGATAGATAGGGATTTGAACTTTGTATAAGTTAGTAAGATTTGATATGTTATATTTGAACTTCATGTAAGTTAATAAAAGTTGATACACTGTATTTGAACTGAAGTTACGTTATCTTCTGTTGATGGGCAAATTCATCTTGTAAACAGGCATATGAAGCCAATTTGCAAGAGCAACTGAGGCATTTGGTGTCTAATGCTGAGCCTAACACAGGCAGGGACTGGCCGTGCAATGTGACCATCAGTCATTGTCACCTGGAGCAGGTGAAGCTTGTGGCAGCTGCAAGAACAGTAACCCAGGCTGTTGTCCTTGTGACCACCCCAGGTATTTCTAAAACCTATTAATGGCATTTTTAGGTCTTGCAAATCCCCCCCAGATGGTGGGAATATAATATACTGGAAGGCCACAATGAGGTCTCCTCAGAGCCTTCTCTTCTCCAAGCCAAACAAGCCCAGTTCCCTCAACCCTTCCTCACAGGAGAGCTGCTCCAGCCCTCTGACCATCTCAGTGCCCTCCTCTGGACCCGCTCCAAGAGCTCCACGTCCTTCCTGTGCTGGGGGCCCCAGGCCTGGACGCAGTGCTGCAGATGGGGCCTCACAAGAGCCGAGCAGAGGGGGACAATCACCTCCCTCTCCCTGCTGGCCACCCCTTTTTTCATGCAGCCTTCCAGTCGGCCTTCCAGGCTGCAAGCTCACACTGCTGGCTCATGTCCAGCTTCTCAACCAGGACCCCCAGGTCCTTCTCTGCAGGGCTGCTCTCCAGGAGATCTTCCTCCAGTTTGTATAAACACCTGGGATTGCCCTGACCCAAGTGCAGCACCACCAGGAAGGCCAGATCCCATGACTTCCACGACATACAGGGACAGGTACCTGGAATTGGAGCATTCACACTTCAATTCCCAGTGCACTACATGATGTTATGATGTGGAATACCAAAAAAAACCAAAAATCACAAAGCCATGACAAGAAGGACACCTGATTTTTTTTGCAGTAGTTATTCTAAAATAGAACAATTTCATAACTCCTTTTTTCAGACTT